CATACACTCCACACACACACACACACACCCCCAACACATACAGTTATGTATATATATATATATATATATATATATATATTACTATAAACAGACTGTTTATTTAATTTAATGCTAGTATGGAAATGTTAACAAGAATATTAATTTATATAATTGTACATTATTCTAACATTTTTTAATCAAATACTATGCAACTGTTATAATTGCATAAATCTTCAGTCTATAATTTATGAACTTTAACCTTAATTTATGCCTCAATTTTATAGATTCTGGAGTCGAAACTGGGAACGATTCTAACGATAGTTTAGTTACTCAACACGACAATCTTGTTGCAATGACTAATGCTAATGCTTCTGGTCAAACACAGTCAAGCGTTAATAACATAATCGATTATGTTACTACGTCAAGTGGAACTTCTATGAATAATTCGTCTGCCTTGATCGTCCCACCAGAGGCAACCAGTCAAGAATCATTACCAGGTGTATCCGAAACGAACGAGAGCGCGCCATCTAATAGCTTAATTAGCGTTAACACATTAAACTCCAGTCCACTTTTTTCATTGGCTCTCGTCCCAGCCACCGACAAAACAAAGGTTAATTAATCCATCGACTTTGCACCGTATAACAAACCAATTTATATGCTTTTGTATAATTTTTTACAAAGCTTACATTGAAATGTCGTAATCCAATGATTTACTGTAATTTTCTTCTAATTGCAGATATTTGAATTTCAAATACCTCCTATATATCATAACGATTGTCCCCTACCAGCTCCTATAGACTTTCTAAAGTCCAGTAAGTTTGGTTCTAATGTAAATTATAACCGTTAACAGACGCATGCCTCGATACTGTGTGATACATAACGATGCCATATTGTTTATAGAATTGTGCAATCATGGAAAAATAAAACCATTCAAATATTATACTCCAAAAGTTAAAAGACACCATTTCTTGGTTTGTAAAGATTTTAAAGGCTACCTCAACGAGCGAAAAATGCGCCTTGCCGCAGCCACAAACAACATTGAAATGATGCAGCGATTACTAAATTTGGGAATTTCACCCAATAACTGCGATGAACAAGAACGATCCCCATTACATTTGGCATCTTGCAGGTGATTATTAAATTCGTAGCTCACAATTCTTATATTTATAGTTGTCGTGCACGACTTCTCATACCAACGAATCTCCCATGATCTTGTAACGCAAAGCCATTTTCCAGAATACGTTTTAACAATTGCAAAACGTTTTATTAACGCGTCCTCTCCTCCCCGACTATTTCATTATCATTATAGTTTAGATAGTCGCCGACTATACAAACGATAGTTTCTTTCAATAGTTCATCCAACCGGCAACATTGCAGCATACGTATTTGGCACTGAAACCCGTTAAGATCTTTAATCGACAATGTAAAAAGTAAAGAAACGAAGATTTTTGAAATTCAAATCTAATGAATAAAATGTTAAATGATAAACTTAACTTGTACAGAGTTCAAGAGCTAGTATGTGTGCGTGGCATACGCATACAACGTGTTATAGTCGCAATCATTGGTCGCAGGATTAGAAGCAATAAGCTTTTCACGATTTTAATAATCCTTCACGTACTTAATGAGCTTCTCACCCCATAAAGTGATTTTATAATTTTGTCAGACCCATAGATTTCGAGCCATAAAGCGTTTAATGCGTTGAATGTAATTTCCCGTTCGCACATCAGATCGGGGACACCTCATGGACCTCGTGGACAAATACCAACGACCGACTTTATTCAAGCATTGATATCCCAATGTCTCGGATGTTGTTCCTGCTCCCCCCACCCCCCCCCCACCCAACCCGATCCAACCAACCAACCAACCAACCAACCGTTCCATTCGCGCGTCCCATTTCAAGAGAAGCCCAGCACTATAACGAAGTCGATGTGCTCTCCCTGTTACAGAGGCTATAGCGAGATGGTGAGCCTCCTGCTGACCTACGGCGCCGATCCGAACCAGCGCGACTGCCTCGGTAACACACCATTGCACCTCGCCGCGGTTACGAGCAAAATCTCGGTGGTGACGCTCCTGCTGATGGCGGGCACTGACGTCCTCTCCTCGGACTACCGTGGCTACAATCCCCTCCAGCTCGCCCAGACGAAGCTCCGCGTACTCCAGAACTGCGAGGGCTCCGACATGAATCAGATAAAGGACGAGGTGCGCAACGTAATCGTCATGCTGCTTGCCTACCTGCAGAAGCAGAAGGACGCGCGCGAGCAGGTCGAGGCGCTAAGCACCTTTTGCTCGCGGTTATCCCTCTCCAATACGTCCGATCAGATCCAGGACGACGTGAGGAACTTATTGGCCAACATCGACTCACTCAGCCTGAAGAATTAAAATGGCCGTGAGCCCCGACATTTCCAGGCGAGCTCAATCATTTCCACGAGCTCAACGTATTTTAGCATAATTAAGAAAATTTCTTGTCGACTTTAATTAAGCGCCACGAGCTTGCGAGGCTTTTACATTTTTTTTAATATACACTTAAGTCTTTATAAAGCTGGTACATCTTTATATATAGCAATCTATTGTTATTAATTATTATTATTATTATTATTTAATCAACATATTTTGTATTAAACGATTTATTATTTGTTCATGCATGAATTTGCGTCATTATCACACATTTATTGTATATAATAACGATGTCTTACAGTTAAGTAAGTGTCTTAGCGAATAGGTGAAAGAAATTAATGTAAACAATTTTTTTTTTTTTTTTTTTTTTTTTTTTTTTTTTTAATTTAAATTTATAATTGGAAAGCGACGGATTTTCTCTCAAACGAAGTTTTTCACGACACTTTTTAATCATTGTATAGAGTTCAGCATAAAATATTAAACTATACGATAAAGCATGCTTGGAGATGATGAATAGGCAACATTTACAATAAACAAATGGCATGCCAATTATTTTTAAATTTGTCCTTAAATATATATTACAATTTTCAGGTATAAAAAATCGATATAGTATGACGTTGACAATATTTTCAGATATAATGATTGTATGATTAGAAAATATTATTATTCACTAATTGCTACGATTGGAAAAATTTAGCTTATTCAAGGAGATATTCAATACCGATCTTAACCATGTAACATTTCATCTTAAGCATATAGAAATGTAATTAAAATAAACATATTTCTATTTACGTAAAATTCAAAACTACCATTATTCTTCATTTGGATTACACCTCATTTGAGCAAAACGCAAAACATTAGCTACAAATAAATATCACTGTGGTTTTAACCATTTTATTTTTTTTTTGCTTTTTGTTTCGTTTGTTGTTGTTGTTGTTGTTGTTGTTGTTGTTGTTGTTGTTGTTGTTGTTGTTGTTGTTGTTGTTGTTGTTGTTGTTGTTGTTGTTGTTGTTGTTGTTGTTGTTGTTGTTGTTGTTGTTGTTGTTGTTGTTGTTATTATTGTTATTGTTATTATTATTATTATTGTTATTATTGTTATTATTATTATTATTATTATTATTATTATTATGATAATGATTATTACTTAATATAGGTAATATAGTTTAAAGATTTTACTTTTGCGACTATACGAGCGAAAGTAGTACATTCCAAAACATCGTCTTTTTAATTCATTTTATACATTTGCACTTGATTATTACGCATTGAAAAACGAATCTCTGAATTTCGTCTAAATTCAAATTAACTTCTTTCCTTCTTTTTTTTTTTTTTTTTTTTTTTTCCTTTTAATTTTTTTTTTTAATTTTCTTTATCTTTGTTACCATAGCCAAATATGGATAAATAAGTGGATTCGTTTGTGGATGGATTTATGTTAATAAAAGCATCTGTCGCAGGTCGGTATCGTATATTCTCCTGAAATATCGTGATCATTATTTGGTTTATTTGAACAAAACGATCTTATAATCTTTAATGAACGAGCGACAAACGTATATATGAAAAAAATCATTATTAATCATTATTAACGCATTACACTTCGAACAAAGCTATCTACAAGTTTCAAGCTTCTACATACATGTAAATAGATCGCATAAAAATATTCCTAATTTTAATTTTGATGTTACATCACAGAATATGATTTTCATCATCGGACGAGCCGTAGCTTTAAGATCATCGATATACTAATTAATTAATCTTAGAAACTTAAGCTTTTTGACGTAATTGAAAAATATACTCTCTAGACCTAATAGCAAATGCACTTCTGATATTTCATATAGAGAAATGCGTCGATTGGCATGTACAATGTTTAAATTCTATTATTATTTTGATATATTCCGTATAATTTGCCATCGATGGCACAGACTTTCGATATCCCCAATTCAGAATTGCGAACGTTCAAAATGGCGCATCCATCCATTCTTTCGATTAGAGTTCATTTATTTAAAGGCGCGTCTGCCGAAATTCCGAACATCCCTGTGGCGTATTTATATAGGGGCGCGTACGTATGTCATTTGTAAAACAATTTCTTTGTAATCTCGCTCAGACGCGTGCACGTTACCGCGCATCTCAAGAACATCTCACGACGATTAATTAATTTCTTTACAAGCCGAGCCAAGTCAAAGTCAAATCATACATGTCAGCGAATTTGAATGAGAAGAGTATACGTAGGCCCCTGTGTACGCACACTCACGCGCAGCGTCCGCATCGCTGATTGGCCACAGCCGCGATTTGTTGATATTTTGTTTTTGAATATTTAAAGTCAAGCCGACGTTGCGATAATATCCAATCAAATGGATCAACTCAAATGCATATACCTCGATGTAAAGCAAACAAAAAATCAAACAAAAATAAGGAACGTGGCGGCGGGCGGGCGGGCGGGAGGGAAAGGAGAACAGCAAACAAACGAGAGAAGACAAGACGGAGGAGCGAAGGAAAAACAAAAGATAATTCTTTTTAATCGAATTTTCACACCGTCAATTTGCAAATGCTCGCGATCATTCAATCACCCCCATCTCGTGTCCTTGCCTCGCACGACCACGCACACTCTCTCCACATCTATCTTACACTACTTACACACTAATCAACAGATAGGAAATAATGAGCAATGATGCGCGATAACGTAATCAAGGGCACATTACGGTCGCCAGCGACGAGAAGATCTCGGCCTGGAGGGGCCCGTAGTCGACCTTCTCGCCGTCGACGGTGAGGAGGCCGCCCGACTCCGTGTCCGGCTCTATTCTGAACGCCTGCACGGCCACCATCTCCACACCCGGGCACGAGAGATGCGCTCCGGTGCTCAAGCCCAGGAGGAACTGTAACAGTCGCAAACATTTGCCATTTAAGCTCCAGTGGATGCTCAACTCTACTCGCTCGAGTCTAGGCTCGGGCAAATAATCGCGTCAAGGCCAAGCGTACGACCGCTCACCTGCAGCAAATTCGTTCGGCTGATGCCCGCTCGAATGATCAGGAGCCAGATGACGCCGTCGGCGAGTTTTGCCCGCGGGGCGAAATGGCAGTCCTGGCCGAGATGCGACTGGTAGGCAGCCTGGACCATTACGAACTCACCTGCAATGTCGGATAAGTCCGTAAATTACAGATCTCCGCTGCTCGTATAACGACTTAATTTCTTTGTGTTATATCTACTTAACCTACCTTCGACCTTCGTCCACGAATTCGGCACTTTGGTCGTGAGGGCTGGGAGCGACGAGGCCGGCCCGTACGTCACCGTCCTCTTGTCCCCGTCGGCGTCTGCAATAATCGATAATAAGTCAAGGTGATAATAATTGCCCCAGAGGTCAGCTGTCGTAGCTTAATGATTATATACGTACAGGAAGTCGGACTGTCAACGTCCTCGACGCTGTGATAAGTACTGGAGATGGAGCCAGAGCCGGTGCTGAAGTAAGCGGACTTGCATGATTTTGCCGAATAGAAGCTGTCGCACCGCCGTCTACCCACTGAGTCCCCGGTCCCCGTCTCCAGCGTCAGCGCGTCCAAGATTATCTGGTGCTCCTGGTCCTCGCGTCCTAACCGTTTCGCCACTTTCCTATCATTCGCCATCTTTCGATTCTCCACCCCCTTCTCCGCTTCCTCCTCGATCTCATCCTCAACCTCTTTCCCCTCCTTCTCTCCCTCCTCCTCCTCCTCCTCCTCCTCCTCATCCCCCTCATCCCCCTCTCCATCCTCCTCCTCCTCCTCCTCCTCACGATCCTCCTCCTTGTTGTTGTTGTTGTTGTTGTTGTTGTTGTTGTTGTTGTTGTTGTTGTTGTTAATCTTCTTTCTCTTCTTTTTCTTCTTCTTCTTTATCTTCTTATCCTGTGCCTTATCGTTTTCGACTATGGTGTGACGCGCCTCGTAAGCTCCGTCCTCCCGGTCGAAGGAACCGTCGTAGCTACGTGACTCCTGGATCTCGTTGCTGTACCTGATTAAGTACGGGTGTTCTTTAATGGCACTAATGGCCTTATGAAGATCGGGATATGACGCGGGAGTATCGCGTGAGTTGTTCCTCCGTCTGTTTTGTCGTCGAATAATAGGCTTCAGCCATTATGATAATTGTGCGCTCGATGGATTTTCAAGGACGTCTCGTTATCTTCTTTCAAAGGACAACGGGCAAGCGCCAATTCCCGACGGATAAGCGACAAAACTTTTCACGTGCTTTATGTCCGTGAAGAGGCAACGGTCGTAATTTCTCCCCAGCCTATATTACGCCCCCTTAAGCCTATCGACCTATATTTATTTAATATTCCCAATATTGAATGGCAAATCAGACGCAACGACCGTCAAGGTTGCCAAGGTTCAATAAGATTATGCGTAAATAGTCGGAATGTAGGGTAAATTACGAGTTTTGCTCGTTATCACGATTTTAGGATAGACAAGAGCGCGTCAAAATCATCATAAGGAATGTGCATGCATACATGTAATCTCAAAATATCGCCAATCGCAATGAATTTTGTATAATACAAACTCCAATATTTAACACAATGCCACTAGTTTTAAGGGATTAATAAATAAATATCCCTGAAAGTGTACGAGCGTGTGTACACTTCACTTTACGAAGCGGCAAATTTATATTTAGAACGAAGTATTTATTAAAACTCTACTCGAATTAAATTTGTGAATTAAATTGCCTTGAACACGAAGATTTATATACAATTTAAAATTTGTCTGACATCGATCGATCGCTACTACTTTGAACACACAAGCACAGACACGAATAGATATTACGAGAGTAATATCGTTTAAATTTCATTCGTTATTATAATAAAAAAAAAAAAAAAAAAAATAATAATAAAAAAATAAAAAAAAAAAAACGTACGACAAACTCAATGCCAATTCGACCGATTAATCACAAATATTATTTACTTTATGAATAATACGCGAGATATAGTAAATAAGCGTTTTTCTTCATAATTAGCCGGCGAATGAAGATTAAATGAGTCGTAAGTAAATCATAAACATAACATGAATGACAACGGCGTAGCAAAAATATTGGAAAAAGCAATAATCTTTGAACAATGGAGTTGACTTGGAAACGGTAAGGACTGGCCGTTAATTGACTAAGCGACTCACCGGTCCAGCTCGTCCCCTATGCTCTTCGAGTGGCTGATCCTCGGCTCCTCGTGAATCCTCGGTGGCTCGCCGTTGGCTTTGGGCTGACAGGGTAGGTAGTAGACGACGCCCCGGTAAGTCCTCAGGCCGATTAGACGCGCGACGCTCCAGATGGTGAAGCGTTGGCCCCCGATCGCCCGCAGTCTCTCGCTCTCGATGTCGATGTCCGCGAGAAGACCCCAGCCGACCGAGAGGAACGAGTAGAGCGTCTGCTTGCGCGTCTCGATCCGCACCAGGTCCATCTGGGTGAGCTTGCGCCGCACCACCGAGAGGGCGCTTATCAGCACGGGATTATGGTCGAAGGGCTCCCTAGAACAACGGGGTCTTGGATTGCTCGGCACCGGCTTATCTCGCACTGACGTCGTACTCTCGAGCGATCGACCGACTCGCGTGATTGACAATTTTTGGATAAGATTTGGATCGTAAAGTCGCGAGTTCTATACTATCCAAGCCAATTATTATTAAACATTATAACCATCCTGTCCCTTCTCAATTACGCGGGAATCAAATTATCGCGAACAATGTACGAGCGTTTCCAATCGTTTCTTACATTTGGCCAGTCCGTTCGGGACTTTTATAATGTCTGCGATAACGACGACGACAACGACAACAACAACCATAATAATAATAATAATAATAATAATGATAATAATAGTATAATAGACGAGAGGTAATAAGTATCGTCCGTGAATTTCAAGCTTTACGGCATTGCGCGAGTTTTTAATGCTCTGATTTTGAAGAATGATCGGGGGGAGGGGGGGGGGGAGAGGCGAGAGGAACTTTAATTAAGGAGAATTTCCATTTCCAAGCAGAGCTCAACCAACACGACTGATTTTCACTTTCTAATTATGTGTATTAATTATGTACGGTTTTGTTTCGTTGAAAATACAAGGATCTCAGAATAAAACGGACGAACGAGCGCGAGCCTAGAGAAAGAAAAACCATGTTTTATTTTGCAACGTCGATGGTGCATTTTTGTTAATAATACACTGTACTCGACGAAATTTGAATTTAAATAAAATACTAACGACAAAACGTGACTATTTTTAAGATGCCTATTTTATGTTATAACGCTCGTAAAGTCATTAGTTGTAGTCGTAAGTTACTTCGAATCGACGTTGTTTGCTTATTCGATAAAGTCAAAGTATTAGTATTACTCGAGCTATTATGAGCATGATTATTTAAACGAAGATAAGAAAATTTCGAAAGTTTTACACGATAAATACGATAAATAGAATCAATGACATTGTTATTAATTGGAGGAAAATTGAAAGATTATAGACGAAATGGCTCGGAGGCACTTTTAACAACGATCAGACATATCACAGGATTGATAAGTGACGAGACACGAAAGAGTAAATATTTCGTGAGAATATTTGATTTATCCGAACTGGACCTTCCCTAATTGCATAATAATCATTATTTATTCAAGTTGCTGCGAACGTCATTCTATTATTCCTTATGGGAGGTAAAAACTTTATCAAAGCTATTAAGCGGCCAAAACATGAGAACACATTATTTTCATTATTCGAGTAGATTTTCCTACCCAAGTAAATTTTCCGGTAAGCTATAAAATACAACACGTTTATCCAATATTAAAGTATATAATAATAATAATCTCTACACTGTGCCAATAATATCAATAATTATTATAATAATTATTGTTACTATTTTAATTTCAAGCTATTCGTTATAGCGTCTGATAATAATAATAATAATCTACATTCGACATTGTAATCACCGTAAAATTATTAAAAGAAAAATAGACGTAAAGCAACGGATTATTTTGTTAATTCTCTGTACAATCTGTACAATATTATTTAAAGAAATAGTATTAATTAAACAACGCCCGTCTCACTTGATAATATTTTTAAATTGTATATAGATAGATGAAGCTAATAAAAAGAAAACATCAATATCATCTCATAAAGTAAATAGCGATGAACGTCTTATTTCGACGATTTTTATTTTTGTTTTATATGGAACAATAATATACGATTCATTTCGTTACAAAGTATTGAAATTGTAACGTTTTTTTTTTTTGGGAAGGGGGGGGGGAACAACTTCAAACGAAACATTATTCACTAAAAAAGTATGGATTTGATAATCTAAGTTTGTTTGTTGGTTGTTGGTTGTTGTTGTTGTTGTTGTTTTTGAAAACAATCTTAAATATATGTTCTCCTCACCCTTTAACATGAAATTTTGTCAATTTTACTTAATTGAAAATATAGTCGCTACAGTCGCGTAAAAGTTATAAATCTTTACATTTTAATAAATCCACCTACTTATTCTTTAATGAATATTCCATTTTTACTTTTAAATAAATAAACTTATTTTAAACTTATTCATTGTTTCAATTGTCAATTATCATCATCAAATAACTCGAAAGCTTCGTCTTTCACAAATTTGTTTTAAGATTACTCATTTTTCCTTTAATGTCTCCGATTAGCATTTACAATGATTAATAAGTCAAATACAACGCGTCGAAAGATAAAAAGAGAAACCTCCATGGTTTCTCTCAATCTCTTACATAACGTCACGCGTATGAACCTACGTTTATTTCACAAAAATCTAAGAAAAAAATTTCGCTCGATCTTCGAATGAAACGAGCACCAATGGGGCTGGAATTAAGAAATCAATTTGTCTGATGATCGACCGTAAAAACGGCCGTTTCTACCTATTAGATTTCTACCAATTTCTACTTATTAGACAGTGACAGTACAATACGTAATCAGCACAACTTATTGACGATTCGCGCTGGAGGTCTCGATAAGGCTAAATAAATGGCAATTGGATTCCTTATGTGAAAATGAATAAATTAGCAAGGGAAAATGGATCGGCCACAGTCGCCGTCACGGACGCGCTCCATCGAGTCAGCCTCGTTGATTCACGGCGTTTGCATTAGCGTGGGAAAGGTTGACTCGCCCATACGCCATCGCGTAATTTGCTGTTGGTGGGCATCGAGTGGAGGAACGCGCGATCGGCCGATTATTACTGCGCTGGAGCACCTTCGGAAGGGGGCATTCCCTACGGGGACTCACTGCTTGGAGAAGGCGATGGACTTGGCGAGGCCGTTCCCGGAGCCGCAGGGTATGACGCCAATGGGCAGACGTTGGCAGCAGCTCTCCCAGTCGGGTCTCTGGAACAGGCCGTTGATGACCTCGAAGACGATGCCGTCACCGCCGACAAGGACGAGGCCCGACCACTGGCTGAGGTCGCGACTGCGCACAAAGTCACGAGCGTAGTTCGAGTGCCGAGTGATGAAGACGTCGTAGGGCAGCTCGGCCTCCGCCAGGATCGGGTGCACCCGTCTCTGGAAGCTCTCGCGACCTCGACCCGGGCCGGACTTGGGGTTCAGGAATACCAGCAGCTTTCGCGACTCGTCCGGGCAGGCTGAAAAGCAAAGAGCCACGGAGGTGTTAGGTGTGACCTAGGATGATGGGAGTGAACGAGGCGGACTTTCTGGGGAAGGGGATGGGGAGGGGATGGGTAGAGGGGGGGGGAGGCGCTGGCTAGTGATTTTTATTTTAAACGACAAGTTTATCGAGCTCGTACGAGTCCCGGTGATGTATGCCGATCCTCCATGAACGTTGAAGGAGCGTTATCGAATCGAGCCAAGCTCTCATTTTATAAGATTATAGTCGAGTCTTGTATTGTTTCACTTAAAATAATTCCAATCTTAAACGTACTACGTATTAAGATGATTAATCAAAACGAAATAATATAAGATGAGTTAAGAATAACCGAATTGGACGTTTCAGATTTATTGTAATAAACGTTGTGGGGAGGGGGGAGGGTGGTGGTGCGGAGAGCTTATAGTGCATTGATAGCATCAAATGGAAGATTGAATGCGCATTCCTAAAATCAAGTGCAAATTTACTTTAATTTAAGAGACATAAGTTTTTACAATCATTTTAATCAAAGTATTTTCGTTCTAGCTGGTTGATTTCGAATTAAATAATTCAAGTGTCATTTGGAAAAAATTCATGGCATGGCTATTAATATGATGAAAACGAGTATGATTTTGTGGGTTAGAAATGTATTTTAATCGAAAATGCAAAACAGTAAAGAGAGAAATAAAAAAAAAAAAAAAAAAAATTTATTCTTTGCTGGTCAATGAAATCTCAATTAAAATGTAAAATAATTGCTCGCGATTAAAAAGTAAATAAAAAATTAATCACATTGAATTTTCTATAATTTATAAAATTTCATTATTATGGGTAAACAGTGTAGGATCAATTTTTCTTTATATACAGTATTAATGTATTTCTGTTGCTTCGTTCGTTTATTCTTTGTGCATTCTTAAAGTGGCTAAGATAGGAAGATATAATTATACAATATTCTCATCCCGTTAAATGAAATTATAATAAATATGCAGGCTTTATTATTATTTAGACAGCGCTATTTTATTATTCGAGATTAGAACGACGGGGGAAATGTTGAAAAAGTACGTAGATGAACTGTCAGCTATTATCATTACGGTTATTATTATTAACTGTTAAACGGCTGTGCTGCAAGTTATATTATATGAAGGCCATGTGGAAGGATTCGATTGTTAGAAATTTACGCGATAATATGTTATTGTACAGTCACCATTCCTACAATTGGATTATCACACTATAATATATCGATGTCTTTTTACAGGCATTCAATTGAGAGAAACTTTTCTGGCAAAAGTTCACGATACGAAAATTAACTCGTCTGCAGTATTATTATTATTATTATTATTATTATTATTATTATTATTATTATTATTATCTTAGATATAGCAGCGCGTATTTTACGTTTAACGAGTTGGCGTATACGGCATAATTGAAAATAATAATTTGAGTGGCGTTTAAAATATTACTAGCTACACTATTTTTCCCAATCCACGCTCCTAACAATCATAACATCAATTTCTTCAATACTGAAGATTGAATTTTTCACTACAACGTTCTAATTATCACTTTCATTCGATGAATAAAGATTTTCAAGCAGCGATAATACACGAGAGTTTGCAATGACATTTTTCTTCATTGAAAATTACAATATACAAGATAATGAACAAATATAGCCAATTGTATTGCGTAAGGCGATGGATTAATCATATCGTACAATGACTTTGATTTAAAAATAGCATCTTAAAGAAGTCACATAGGCTTATGTAGTCTAAGAATCAACAGCCCCATAAATTATCGAACAATGGCGTAGGTATAGCATTTTTTTATGCGAAAAGTAATGGAACGTCAGTAATAACGTTAATTCATGCAATTGTAAATATTATTTTTTCTATTATCCATTCAATTATTAGTAATTCGATGGAGGATCAAGATATTGTTTGAATAAATATTTACAACATTACGTGACTGTAGGCAATATATCGCCTCACTCTCTACGCGACAATCATATCAATTTATATTGTAATTAGAAAATAAAATCACCCCAAGATGCCCAAGGGCTTGTGACAAATGCTTTTCCTAATCGTTCAAGCTCAAATCCATACGTAATTGTACCTGCGAGCCTGCGAGTACGAATGCACATGGAAATGTTATTAGCAGAATCGAGGAATGATAATGTTTCGTGTTATTTAATTTAATTTTTATTTCTTTTTTTATTTTTTTATTTTTTTTTTTTCGAAGTCTAAGCATTAAAACAAATATTATTCGACGTGGATAATAGGATTTTAATAAAGTCGAAGAACGAAAAATGTTTGGAAAAACATTTAGCACTGTTTTTATAGGGATGTCATTTCCCGTGATGTATCCACCAAGCGATCGTGTATTTATTAGAAAAATATATATTTATCATGGTTTTTATCACCATGGCGAGCGTACTTGTTTGTTTTTTTTTTTTTTTTTTTTTTTTTTTTTTCAAAAAAAAAAAAACATATATACATATATACATATATACATATATACATATATACATATATACATATATACATATATACATATATACATATATACATATATACATATATACATATATACATATATACATATATATTATTGGGTGATGCATGAGACAGTCGGTTGGAAGTCCTGATATAATAATGTAAGGCCATTCTTACGACGATCATCGCACGTGTAAATATTTTGCTTATTTATGTACGAAGCTTCGACATCTCGGCATAGGATATTCGACAAAAGGCTCGAAATTTTCCATTCGCTTCGTTTATTTCCCATCGAACCGAATGCGATCATCAATACACGTGGGCAATATATACACAATCGATAATCTCGACGCGGCAGGCATTTCACATCCCGCCATCATATTTATCGAGTAAAAATCTTCGCTTCGATGCTCGCTGCAACGCTCACTGTGGCTCACATAAAAACCCGACGCTTTCAATTACGCGCGAAATGTCGCTTTAACCCGAAACGGCTGCCATCATTTTCAATTGCGCGGCTAGGATAAAAACATGTGCAAAGCCCTCGAACGACGGCCACACCGTGGAAACGGCAAAAATGTATTCTTTCCCGTTTGAGGCAATAATGGGAGTACAAGACCAAAAGTCCAACACAGGCCCCATCGAGTGTGGGAGCTTTGATTATCGCGTCGCCTGACGTGAGAGCGAGCAATGGTTTCCTCGCTCGCGAGTCTTCAAAGTGCCGGCCGATCAATCATTTAAACATTCTCAAATCCAATTTACGGCCGATCGATAGGCCGCATTAGTCGTAATTCCATCGGAGCTCTCGCTATCTGGAGCATCGAATATTACACGATCGCGAATGCCTCGGCGGGGGTGGGGATGAGCTACCTACCCGTGCGACCCGCGCAAAACCTGCAACCTTTCCTCAACGTTCTCGGGCTCGGGCGGCACGACGGTTAATTTGTTCCCTAAGCCCCGAATTCCCTTTCGATATAACAAGCTCGTCGTCGCACAATGAGGGGATGACGATGGCCGAGGGACGTCCACTGGCATCGCAAGCGACAATTTTGCGCGGGCGATTAAAAACACCACTTAAAAAGTGGAATAGTGGAATGGGGACGGGTATGTGGTAAGGGAGGGAGGGAAGGTGAGGGAGAGGGGGGGGGGCGAGGCGTCGGCGACGGTGGCGTGTGGTGGTAATATTGGCGCAGTGGTTACGAGAGTACGATGAAGGAGAGTGAAAAGTTGGCTCGGAGCTGCGGTACTCGACGCACGCCTGGCAATTTGGATGTAAGAGCCAGTGTTGGCGCACGCGCCGCTCCTGCGAATTGGCCCACGCAATCCTGGGGGGAAAGTGCACTTTCCCGGGGAAATCCGAGCGCGCCAATAGTCCGGGCTTGGTATGTGCGCGCGACTCTGTAAGAGCGGATTGGTTCGCGCGGGGATCTCCAGGAGGGGA